ATTCGGGAGCGCCGGGAGCCTTGCCATGGACGGAGCGATGTGCAGGGACAGGCTTGGATTTGGAAGGGGAATCCTCGAAGGGGAGCCACTTGGTGAATGTGGGCAATTCCTGCATCTGGGTTTTTCGAGGCATCTTTGGTTGGGCAACCCCGCTTCCTCCTTCCGCTATTCACCAGCCATGGAAAAATGGAGTTCTGAAGAGGAAGGACATACATGCGATGAAGGGGCGGGGCAGGCCGAAGGAGAGAGAGAAAAACAGAAATGCAGGTCACTCTGGGAAAGGGCCTGCGAAAAGGATGGACGGGAGAAGGGGGTGCGTTCCTTAGAGAGAGAGAGAGAAAACAATTATTTTCTTATTTTTAAATGCCACGTCAGAAAATAATTTAAGATGATAGACCCTTTTGCCATGTCACCATTATAAAATTAGTAAAAAGCTAAAACATCAATTTAAACTCCTACGGATTTTTATCCTCACCTCGTTTAATTTTATCCTATCCTAACTTTCGGAAGATGTTGCAATTTTTATTTTTATTTAGAAAGTTATTGATAAATGTATTTTAATGAAATTATAAAATATATATTTTGTAGGGAACTGTGCTTCCAATCAAAATAAAATTATAATTTTTTTTTGGAGTTATTTAATGGTTAATTTTACGTCAAATATTTGATTTTTGTTGAATTAATGAGTAACTTCAATTTTTAATCCATTGCACTTTTTGGACCTATAAAACAAATGTTAATCAAAATTTAATAATATAATTTAAATGATGTTCTTTAAAATCCTTTTTATACAGTATGAATATATATGTAGTCTTATTATTTTTATTTTCATTTATAAAGATTTTGTAAGCACAATTAAAAAAGTTCATTAAAAATTATAAACCTAGTTCTAAATATACATATTGTTATCATCAAGCTAACAAAATATATATATATATATATATATATATATATATATATATATATTTTTTGAATGCACCAATTTTGTTACTATTCTTTAGCAGCATGGGCAGACTTAGTTGTGTAAAAGAATTCAACCAAGAGTTTGGATTCTATTATTCCAATTAGCATTTATTATCAAATTTTAATAATAAAATTTATCTCCTCCCATGATATAAATAAATGTAAATTGTTATAGAATATGGTTTAAAAAAATTCATTGTAACAAATAGCTTAAAAGTTTTTTTTTTAATACAACATGTGGGCGGGTGAGATTTGAACCCACAATCTTTTGGTCGAAACTCACAATCATTGTAACATGTGGGCATATGATTTTCTCTATCCCGATAAAGCTTTTGATTCGTATCAATATACCCTTTCCTGAAATTTAACCGACAAAATTGTATGTATAATGTATGTATATGTGTATATTTGTGTCTTTGGAGGCCCAGGCTCTAAATGCATTGTTTATTTCTTAATTATCTTGCTCTTTAGGTTTATTTTAACTTTCACCTTTCTTTTGGGACAAAAATCATCTTTTTTTAGTACATGGTTCATTTTAACTTTTACTTATTAATCCTCTCTCCCTCTCTCTCTCTCTCTCTCTCTCTCTCTCTCTCTCTCTAAATCTTCTCTCTCTCTTTCATTAATTCCCCATCCTTTCCCCCACAAATTCTTAACCTCTCATTAATTAGTCCTCTCTTTTCGTCCCTCTAAATTTCCCTCCTTGGGCTCTCTCTCCCTTCAAAATTCTTTCTTTTATCTTGCAAGTTTAGAATTTCTATTATTACCTCTGTGATAGAGATGGAACAAACAAAAATTAGGAACCCAAAGGTTAAAAGATTAAGTTAATATTAGAATAGTTCAACGGAAAAAACTTAAAAGTCGGAGATTAAAATCCCCACACCCATATTTATTGTACTCCGAAGAAAAAGAATATTGAAGACTAAATAAAAAGGAGTAGAAAGTGGATAAACGTTAAGAGTACAAACATAAAAAATAAAAATAAAAAAACATTTAGAAACTACCAAAAAAAAAGGAGAGATAAAATCTTAATCAAACATGTTCTCATTGTATTTGTGTTATAAAGGAAAAAAGTTAAAATGATATATTTTTGAAAAATACAAAAATAAAAACTTTTTATTTTTAAATTTGCTGTTTAGTTGGTATTCATAGCTAACACCTCAAACCTCATATATCCAAGAGGTGAAGTCTGGCTCAACAACTTGATGTTAGTTCTTTCTTCATCTTTTATGTTACCACGTGCTAATGCATGGTGAATCATAAGTCGTGTTGAGTGAGAATTGACTTGATTGCATTGTATGTCTACTAAATTTATCTCGATAAATGGTTAAGCTTGATGCTCCATAGTTCATACCTCGATTATATTAGATATATATCTTATTTTTCATGTGTCAAATTGGCGAGTTCTTCCCCTTCATTAGTATAGCTAATTTAAGAAGATGTGTTCAAAACTATTTTTAAGAATTGCAATCGGATCAATTGAAACTTAAAATACCTTTTTTGGAACTAGCCCACTTCTCATTAGTTGAAAAGAAAAATTTCTTATACATAATTAAGGGGCCATTAAAAAGCCGACTACCCAAACTAATAATAGAAGTAAATACTTTTTGGTCATATTTTACTATAACTAACCTTATAGATCCCACTTAATCATTAAGGTTATCGATTATCTTAATTAATTTTTTTTTTGTTTTAGTACGATACATGGACGGATGATCGAACTCACTACCTCTTGGTTGAAGATATATATCATTTACTGTTGAACTACGTTCGCTTTAATTGTTTTAATTAATATTTGTTGGGTAATACAGTAAGATTGACATTAGTTTAATTATCTCCTTTCCCCTTCCCTTTGAGTTTAATATATAGGTTTCATACTTAAAAAAAGAAAGTTTGTTCGGTTGAGGATTAAATTGGGATCCCTATTCGACTATAGACAAAAGCTAATTAATTAATGGACGAAAATTGTCCATAAATAAACTAACACTTTAGAGTAAAAACAAAGAAT